AGGAAGAGAACTGCAGAACAGAAAAACTAATCAGCATCTTTTTCAGGCCAGATGTTCAGTTATCTTAAAAGTGTGAATCTACCAAATTTACAATCAGGGAAATGTCCACTGTGTTTGACTCAGGTGCTAGAGAAATGTATATATCAAAGTCTCATTTCCAACAAAATGCTTACACTGCATAAAAAATATCTGAATCTGGGGGTAAAAAAAGGTTAGATTGCCTCACCTTTCTTTTTTCATCTTAGTGCTCAATACCACATCTTTCATTTGGATTTAATTTGGCAAGTTTTGTTATGTGAACATTATCCCCATATTATAATGATTTTGGCATTTCCTCAACTGGCATATGAAAGACAGAGGTCTAAGCTGTGCAGCAATCACAGAGGAGCAGATAATAGACACTGGTACATTTTGTCCTGACTGAGAACCACAGTGCATAAATTTTAATACAGTCTGCCAGAGTCCAGCAGAGAAAGTGCTAGATTGAAAAGCCACCGCACTCCAAGCCGTTGGTGGTTAGGGGGCACAGTACTGGCAATCAAGAATGCATTGGCGGGCTGAGAGAAAGGAGAATCTGATACTGTGGGAAAGAAGGAAAATGGGGGAGGCATCTATTTTGCTAGATCAAAGATGTGGATCTGTGTAGCATGAACCTTTTGAATTCAGTTACTCAGCTTAACCAGTTACCTCCTAGCAAGAGCAAAACATCACCATTTTCCCCTGTTCAACACAACAAATTAACATCAGTGCAGATTCTGTGTGCAAAAAAAAAAAAGCAGCACTGCACAACCTCTTACCCTCTTGTGTTTTGGCAGCAGGAAGTGAAACAGATGACCCAGCCATGAAATCTCCTCCTTCCACCATCCTGAAGAATTATGTCATTGTTGGTTCCTCCCAAATCTCAGGACAAGCTGCCCTCTTCCATCCCTCTGGCCAGAAAAGTTCAGATCCCCATGCCAGAGGACAGGTAACAACACCAACCGGTTCCCCTCATCTGGCTGCCGTCCACCTGCCTTTACCACCCAGCAGAGTCATTGAAGAACTCCACAGGGCTCTGGCCACCAAACACCGGCAGGACAGGTACCCACAGCCTCTTGGCTATATAGGTGCATGACGAGAGTCATTCCACTAAATCATTTTTCTTGGCAAATGTTCCTACCCTGTTATTAGCATTTTATTTACTCCTACAGCTTGGGTTTGCCTTCCTCTTGATATCATTACTTTGAACATCCATCCCTGGTTAAAGTGCTTAATTTGGCAGTTACTTCAAAGTATGTTCTTCCTTCATAAGGAGGCTACTGTGACAAAGAAGTAGGTCTTCCAACAGGTAGAATCATTTGATAATCCTTCATCTATTGCAAAAGAAAGTCTCCCCACAAGATATCAAGTTAGAGTAGCTAAGGCATATCCTGCTCTAAATATCAGTACTCTACATATGAGAAATGCTACTATTCCGGTGTATGCCTCTTGGCTTATACATGAACATACACGGTATCCGGTTTTAATACAAATGCTTGTGTGGGAGTATATTGGGTACTTTGTCTGGTTTTCATTATAAGCTCTCCTGTGTATTGGAGGAGGACAGAGATAACCTTCTCCACCACAGAGCTTTGCAGTTAAGTTGGTAACATTTCTCAATTCCGTAACAGCTATTGTCACGGGGAATAGATTCATACAATATTATCTCCAGGTCCTGTTAAACTTTTGTCATGATCATAAAATATCAGAATGGTAATATTTCATGGCATGTATGTTTTATATTAGAAGGACATGCTGTGTGGTTTTTTTTAATCAGTACAGTATAGCATGTGGCTATATATCAAAGAAATACATTAGTCACCACCCTTCCGTACCTTATTTTCATGACAGAGGTAGGAAAGTAGATCCACGTTAGCCATTCTCAACACAGTCTTGAGAATGCCATCCCGTGTTGCCCGATGTTGAATTCTCTGCCCTGGCCTTTACGAACTACAAGACATTCTGCTCATTCTCATATAACGATAAGTTCCTACTGTGGCAATAAAAGAGTCTTTTGTAAAAACTGGGCTATGCACCTTCCACCCACAGCTTCCATGGAAGAGAAAGCAAAGGCTCTCCAAAAAAAAGAGTGGATGTCCGTCCATCCAGAACATCTAGCATTGAGCGCAACAAAGAAAAGGAGAACCCACTGAATTACAGCAGTGATTCAGAAAATAAGCGGAACTCAGTTAAAGAGTCGGATGAGAACAAAGAAAACATGATCATGAACTCAGAGCTCAAGGAAGACTCTGTTTTTTATCAGGATGAGGAAGTTTTGAATGACTCCATTATTTCTGGTAAGGAAAGTCACTTATTATGTTACAAAGATACACCATCATAGCCTAACAGAATGCTCTAAACAAGGCAGCATGCAACAGAAAATACTGAGCAGTATAAATTCCTCTATTGTCATATCAACTTTTTCAAGGAATCCTAGTGAAAAGCTAAAGATAAATTTGAGTCATAGTGATTATGGTCATGTTTGTCTTGGTAGGTACCGCATACTAAGATGATGTTTAGAGTTATGTTGATAAGTCAATGTATCAGATGCTTTACCCCTTCAGTTACTTATGTACCCTTTGTACTACTATATATGAATGGTAGCACTTGCAGACACATCTCACTGTCAGTAGGCAAAGCTTTCTGTATACCTGGTGCCAATGCTGTGGATGTTTTGGAAGCATCCCATTTTAGAACTATGATTCCAGTGCAGCGATAGTACAGTGAAAAGTGGAAGAGACCAATAAGTCTAGGAAGGACAAACATCCAGAGGAAATATCTTAAAGAAGAAAGTTGCTCTACATTTTGTCCATTTTACCATTTCTTGAGACATATGGGGAATGCATTGTATAATCCTGAGCAATTACTTATGTGGGCTTTGGCAAAATAATCATCTCTCATTAGGAAATTTATTTTTCATTCAAGCTTTTAATGTTTTCCATGTTAGCAAGACAAAGATTCAGTCTGAAACGAATCCTCCAATTTCTTCATCAATGCATTAAAAGAAAGCAGGAAGAGAAAAATTAGTAAAAAAATAATTGTTATAACAGATCAATGATGGATTTTAAAAGGTGCCTATTAGAAAGCATGAACCAGCAGACAGGACACATGAGTTCTGCTCCTGTGTCTTAAGACACCTATTAACAGAACAGACTACTGAGATAAGGCAAAAGAAAAGAGAATCCCTTGCATAATTGCTGTGCATTTAAGGATAATTTAAAAAATAAAAATCACCTTTTAAGTTCTATTTTTTCCTGACTATGTGTTGTTCCTGGTTATAAAGTGGTCTCCTTTGGTATAAATTCTAAAAGCTAGAGGCAGTCAGGCAAAATATATGTTATACTTTCCTAGTAAAAACAAAAACTGAATATTTTACTGTTGAAGATGAATGCTCTACATATTTAACAATATAACAATATTCACTGTCTGTGAAGACAGAAATTATAATGATAGAAGGGCATTGGTTATATTACAAATTTCAGTGATATCTAGACAGCTCTTGGCTTTCCAGAAGAAGTGTTAAAGTTCTGAAAATTTTCTGCTTACTACAGTTGAACAACAGTGGTGTTGTATTGATGCTGGCTTAAGAATGGTTTAAATGCAGCAAGTTTTATAGGGCAATATCAGACCAACAAAGATGGTGAGAAAAACAGACCTCTTTCAAAGATATTTTGGCTTTATTGTAGCTGCAACAATACTGCTGCTCAGCACAGAAGACATTGAAATCTGCCATTTGAAATACTGGCTACACAACATGAAATAAAAATAAATCAGACTGAACAGAAAACTTTTTCCTCTGAACTATATAATTCGATTTAAGAAAATATTATGTGTACATATAAATCTTACTTCATACAATGGCTTATGTATTGGGCATGATTGGTCATGTGTTATGACTGGGTAGGGCATGCCTGCTAGATATTTAGAAAAATAATCTCTGATAGTAGGAAAATTATTAAATACATTTTTTAATAATATGTGAGTACTACAAAGATGCAAAAGTTGGATGGAAAAGTTTATAGGACTAATTCTTCACAGAAAGGGTCATTAGGCATTGGAATGGGCTGCCCAGGGAGGTGGTGGAGTCACCATATCTGGAGGTGTTTAAGACTGGACGTGGCACTTAGTGCCATGCTCTAGCTGACATGGTGGTGTTGGGGCAAAGGTTGGACTCAATGATCCCAGAGGTCTCTTCCAACCAAATCAATTCTGTGATTCTGTAATTAGTGAATATGAGGTGGAGCTGATACTTTCTTGAATGCTTTAGTTAATAAGATTAACGGCCGAAATTTAAAATGTCAAGAGCCAGAACCACATACAGACTTGCTTCCCCAGTTCTCGTGCTGGTGTGCTAGTAACAGAGGTGCATATGTAGATATGTAGACAGCCAGTTAGATGCCTTATCTGAAAGGCTGAAAACTCAAAGGCTTGTTATAAAATTAATTAGTGCAATGATTATGCACAGATCAGTATTTACCTGCAGACGTACACCGAGGGCAAAGAAAGATGGTTTATCATTTGATAAAGAGGCCCCAGCTATGAATACAACCCCTTTTCCCATGCAAAACACTTTCCAACTTCAACAAAAATAATTTTTAGGAAGAATTTTCTCTCATTTCTTTGCTTGTAGCTACACAGCCTTCTTCCTCATAATTAATTTATCTCACTCTTTGGCATTTGAGTCTCTTCACACCTAAACTTCAGCCTCTGCACCAAGAAGCCCATCCCATACAGTCCTAAAACTTACCCAAGTCATCATAAGACCTGAGCTTTATGAATAAGATCATTTTATTTAAAATGGCTGAATATCATTGTGGACTGCCTTGTCCTTGCAGGTTGTAAATGTGCCTTTACAAAAGACCTAATTTCTTGTACAAGTCTGGTACTTGCTCTGCTGGTGTTTAAGTTCAGGCACATTTTAGGGGCACAACAAAAACTCAGGCCATGCAAAGTTTCAGCTGTTTGATCTCTAAGGATGCTGCTACGAACGGGTACTGGGCAAGCTGGGCAACACAGCTGCTTAAACCACTGAAGTCCTGGTGTGGAGGTATAACCTCAGCCCCCGAGGAGACAACAGCTTTGGGGATGCGACCGCTGCCCACAAGCTGGGACATAAGCAAGGCGTTTCTGGTCTTTACACAGGGTGGCACTACTTGTGCCAGCATTCATTCCAATGCACTCGTTTGCATTTCAGAGAGGAACCAGAGATGCAGTAGTGACAGGGACAGCACCAGAATAATTCCCTGAAAAGCTTCAGATTCTTTCTAGTTTAAAAAATCCAGGTTAATTTGCAAGTCAGGAGGTAAGACTATCCATTAATCCAAAGATACTTTACAATTAGTGTACTGCCTTAGTACATCACCAACTTTGCCATTGCAGTGCGATGCAGAGCAGTGCAACAGCCTCATGATTACAGGGAGATTGGTACAGGTCACAGATAACTCCGGAAAAAGTAAGGAATTCTACCTTGGCTTTCCATTAGCACCCTACTCAATAAATCATTCTTTGAAACCTCTGAAAACACAAGGCAAGACAGCAGTCTTGTGCATGAGCTTAAAAAATAATGTAACTAGCATGTAGCCTACAATTGATAACTAGCGCAAGCAAGGTCTTTCCATCAGCATGCAATATTAGGATTTGCCTTTTCCTTGATAGAAAGAACAGTAAACATACAGGAAATTAAATGTCATGATTCAACTGAATTAAAACAGGAACTTTTGTCAGGAACCTGCAGACCAAGCATGAAAAGGGTGTGAATTTTCAAAGCATTTATTGTTGACCTAGCTGAGCTGCCATAAATCATGAAACAAGCCACAGCCAAGATCCTGCCTGAGATAGCTTGGTCATGGGGCAGGTCGGCATTGAACATGCCTTACTGACCAGGAAAAATAACCCTTAGGAAGAAAACACTTAAATAAGGGTACTTGCAGGTTCACTTTCTACTGAGATAGTGATCAGGAAGGAATTTGCCTCAGGGTGCTGAAAACGGATGTGAAGAAAACTAGTTCGGGGCTTTATTTCCTCATTGTTCTCTGGTTTTATTTATTTGCTTATTATTTCTGAAACATCAGATATGGGTTTCTGGAGCAGGTGGAATAACAGAACTGGCCATCAGTGGGCCAGTCAGGATGAAAACAGATGAACTGCACAGTGTTTCCCAGCATGTCTTCCTGAAGGGGGTAACATCATCTCCCTCCTTTCACTCTGTCGAGCAGGTATTATGTTTCAGGAATTAACCCAATTGGTCAGGCAAGGGGAATGGCTCCTTAGACTAGCAGATCAGCTTAAGCCAGATCTCTTGCATTTTTATTTGGTGAAATACGCTAAAGATTAATCAGTGCCCAGTGCATATGGACCATGGGAGTGGCTATAGCATAAGCCTTTCAGAAATCCAGACATCTGGATGAAGTGAGCACAGCTTATCCTGAGTGGGTTATACGCTCTCCACTCCTCTAATACAACAGCAGGATTTGGGTTAAAATTGAGATTTTTCAGATATGATTTGTGTTTTTAATTTCACAAAGTAGTAGACTCTTTCTACGTGTGCAGCAGAGCAGCCTGAGAGCCATCAAGGCCCTGAGGAGCAGCTTCATTTTACTTTGTTTCAAGCAAAATACTGCATTGTTCTGTCTCACTTTGAAATACAAGTCTCTAGGGCACACACAGAGCTAGCTTAAGCCAATGTCTCCACATCAGCTTCAAAACCTGACTTCTTGCAAAAAGGTCCAGTCTTTTAATTGCAGAGCATTGGTTTCAGCTGGCCTTCAGTGAGAGGAGGGACAGCAGAAAATGAGCCCTGACCTCATCTGAGCAAATAATCACTGTGATTCTAGCCTTGTCCTCCCACAATTCAAAGATCAGGTATAGAACGGTATGGCAAGTAGTTTTATAACAACCTGAAGGGAGTAGGGATTGCCCTGCATGCTCATACCTTAGCTGTCACCAGTGAATGGGAGAATAACCATTTAGTGTGCATTTAAAAAAAAAAAAAAAGTGTTTACTACATACGTAGAGCTCCCTTGTTTCCTTCTCAGCAGTTCTGGATAGTGACATATGCATGTGCTGTATGGTGTACACATATATTGCTTTCAGTGCACCCAAGATGCACTGAACTGCCTGCAAATGCACTATGCAGATGGCCAGCACGTGGGCGGTACGTCGATCATGTTCTGGAAAATCTGTGCTGTACTGGCTTGCTGTGCATGTGCAGTCTCTCCGCAGCAATCTCCTGACATGACCAAATTCCGCTTCCCGCCTGTTTAAAATTTCCAGATGAAAATGAGAACATGTTCAGGGATACCTGGGAGTTTGCTAGCCTCAAATGTACTTCAGATCGTTTCCAGGAGGAATTCTGTTGGTTCCTGCGCTGTACGGATCAAGGACTGCAAACACCCACTCTGCACCCACCCCCAGCGTGGTGGAGGCTTGAAAAACCTTGACAGAGTCCCACGTCTGTGGCTTTATGAGCCAAATGTTTCTGATGGAGTCGTATATTCGGTTAGCAGAAGGCTCTGTGTGGCATCAGCCAAATCATTTAACTTCTTTATCCATCTGTTAAATGTATACCTACTACTTTACAGAGGGCTGTGTGGTTTGATTTAATTAATGTTTACAACAGACTTTGAAAGCATTAGGAGGAAGGTCCTAAATAAGGGCACAGCTTTCAGACTCTAAGGGGGTTTTGAGCTGATTGTGGTATCTAAAAAAATTTAAAGACCACTGCAACTATCAAGAGACTTGTTCCTGCTCACACAGGGAGACCACAACTACTCTCTGCCCTAGTCTTCCCAACATGCGTGTGTGGTTGTGGTATAGACTCCTCCCCTCTGCATAAAGAAATTCAAGATCAATGGTGATAATAATAATATAGGCCCACAGATCCCTAGCAAATAAAACCCCAATATTTGGGAATGAGAATCTATTTAGGATTTAGAATCTTGCCAACCTCCAGAGCATCCTTTAAAAAACAGACTTTAATCCTATCTCAAATGCCAAACAAAAATATCAATTAAATGTCATTTTCTTTAAAAATGGGGTGACCTTTTCTAGGAAAGGTGAAGCATTAAATTAAAAAACCCCTTTTAAGTAAAAAGGAACAAAACAAAATAACCTCCTATTACACACCATGCTCCCAAGATGAATCAAATACAAAGATTTAACTGTAGTTCCTGCGTGCCCTGACAATACTCTAAGCCCCATCTGACTGGTGCTACTCTGCAATGATAATTTTCAGGCTCTGCTGAAGCCCTAGACTGGACACCAGAAAAGCTAGTACAGCATAGCAGAAGTGCGCAGGGATCTGGTGTAAACTTACTTGCTCACAACCTACCTGTGACTTGATTGCTGGAAGACTGCGGTCCTACCAGTATGACCTAGCAGCTCACTGGTTTTAATAGCACTTCCCTCTTCCCCCCATCATAAGCAAACCACCTCTCATCAAATATGGACATGACCTCAGACTTTCAGTCTGCATTTGAAAATAAAGATAGCTTTCTACTTTACAGCCATTTTATTGCGTACCTTTTCAAACACATGGCAAAATGGTTTCATAAGCTCAGGAGTCCAATTTTCACTTGTTCAGCCTGCTAAGCCTGAAGAGTTACAGCAGAGATACAGCAACACCTAAGCTCAAACACAGCTCCCGCTAGTATGAGTGATAGGATGTTTCTAATGTCATCAGAGGGGCAGCATCAAGGACTTAACATCCAGCACACTGAAGCGCAGTAGATCCCTATTCAAAACAGTTGCTGCATGTTCTCCTATGAACAGTTCTTTTGTAATGGCAATGTTTTAGGCTGTCATGTTTGATGGAAAACATGTTTATCATATTTTTACAATAAGCACAACAGGTCATGCAATCACAGTATTTGTGTCTCTTATTGCCCAAATGCCCAATTAAGTTGCCAGCATTCTGCGAAATATCATAAAACCTGGCCTGTTCTTTCAGCCTTGGAATATTTGCCCCTGCTCTCTTCAGAGAGAAAGGCCTAATGTCAACAGTATAGTACTGATTGCTAAATGAAGTCCTGTTATGACACACTGTCACACTGGACAGGATGTAGACATACATAATGGCTTATATTTAGTGGTAGAGTTACACATGGTGTCTGATCACAATTCTGATTTTCTAATTTCTAATGCCAGGAAACCAGAATTACATTTAACAAATATATTTTTATATATATGTGTGTGTGTGCATATACACACACACCCCAAGCAACAACTTCCATTGTTTCAGTTACCATTATCTATTCCTGGTGACCCAAACAGGACAGTGTACATGTCCTGGCCACCGAGCAATCCAGTCCTTCTGCAAAGGAACCCCTAAGTGGTTCAGGAAACAGGGATTGCTCTGGGCTACAGGGATGCCCAGAGGACTGAAGCAAGATGCACAGCCTTTGACTTCTAAGCTAGTGGTGTGAATCATGTCTCAGCTGAAAATCATTTTCACCCGAGAACACTGCTTGCTTATAATGGATAACAAAGATTAACACAGGAATACGATCCTTCTGCATTTGTAAGCAGTTTTGTGTCTGAACCCTGCACAACTATACACAGCACTACTTACTTATATTAATGTGTACAACTGCTCATTGCACACTAACATACAGATCACTCTCACTCCATAGGTTTACCACTCTTCATATGCTCATGCTTCAACTCCAGGAGCTGTCTTTCTAATAACTTTCTTTTCAATGCATGTCCCAGGTACTTTGCCAAGAAAATGCAAGAAAGAACTGCTGGCAGTAAAACTACGGAACAGACCAAGTAAGCAGGAGCTGGAAGACAGGAATATTTTCCCAAGGAGGACAGATGAGGAAAGACAGGAAATCCGGCAGCAAATTGAAATGAAACTCTCAAAGTAAGTCTGTCTAAGAACAGCGAGGAACCTCCCTTTACAACGGAGCGTCCTCTGAGTACGGTCAGATGAGACATTGTCGCCCACCCCCAAGTCCATTTCCTGCAGCGAATCATACACAAACTAATATAGCACATTTTCAGCTGTCAATCAGCCACACGAAAAAAATCTTAACTCCCTCTTCAGTCAGGATTCCCTTAATTTCAATAGAAAACAAGACAGAAGTCAACACAGGAGACAAAATTCTGTCAAATCTACCTGGAGCTCCACTGATGTAATCAAGATTTTGACGTCCTCCAGAAAGGCTAGTGCTTTAACCAAAAAAAAAATAAAATAAATTTATTAACCTGATTTTGCTTTTTCACCACTAGCTGAATTTGAGGATAAAAGCAATTGTTATAGCTGGATATTTCCTTGAACAAAGGAAAGCTGCTGTATGCATTGGTGGCTGTATTTCTGCTTTAAGGAAGGAGCAACTTCAGCAGCGTTGCCCTCACATGGGTAAGGTGTTTGTGTAAGCCCAGCTGCAGGGATGGTCTGGTTTTGATCAGTAACCAGGGCAACAGAGTAGAGCTATGAGAGAAATAGCATTACTGGGGCATGTAGCCTAAAGCAAAGATTTAAGGTGGCTGTGAGGCTCAGACTGCACCATTTGGGTTTTTTGTGTGTTTTTTTTAAGAGCTACATTTGGATATCTGCAAACATGAATATTTTACATGAGACAAAGTGGATTGTTAAATAATCTGTGCTGTGCCTGCCCACACTGGGACAGCGAGCACTGCTCGCCGCCAAAATGCTTGGAATCAAATTGAGAAACATGAATAGAAGTTCATTTTCAAGACTTATTAAATATTAAATATCTCAAGCCTCTCCTGAAAGAAACATTTATTGATATTTAGACTAGCTCATTCATGTGTGTGCATTTGATTAAACTTTACCTCAGGGGACAGGGAATGAGACGCACGCATATGGATCAGAGCACAAGTCCTAATGGACCAGAGTTTATGGAGGAAAACATCACTGCCATCACCACACTTGCCCTCAGCTAAGTGAGCTGCTGAGTGAACATAGATGAGATTTTGGGTGCACTTCACGATGCCTCTGCAATGTTGGGAGATGGAGTAATCACCTTCCTCCAGTCTCAGTGATTGCTGTTTATTCTGTATAGCATGGTAGCACTTTACACCCAAAGAAGAACAGTTCATTGTGCCAGTGCATGCACAAGACAGAGCAGGTGACAGTCCCTGTTACAAAAACCATGTACATCCCATACAAGTAGAAAATATCACATTATGTTTTACATTAAGTTCCAAGAGTTACAGGCAGAGCAAATCATAGATGTGACACATTAAGACCCATTGTCTTAGGAAGGAAGGTATCATGGACCTTTACCATGGCCTTGATCGTCATGACCTTGCAAGCCTTGTGTATTCATTTCAGGGAAATATTTCAAGCTGTACTCTGAGATTGTTAATTCCAGTATTTTGGCCAGTCAATTGCTTGTGAAATATCTTCATAGGTCAGAAGCCTAATTTTATGGCTCTAAAATATACAAAAAATGGTTTCTACCCCACTGCATCCCTAAAACCAAGTCTGACCATCGAAGTATTTACTGAGTGAGAAGATTACCTCATATCCAGCCACACCTCATATTGGTGAAATGCCTAGGTCACATCTCTTTTCAATACAGCCAGACTTCTCTTAGTGTGAAAGGTCTAATGGTATTGCAGCTTCAGGTGGTATAACTACAGGCCTTGTCCCTTTCTTTTCATTTACCATTTAGCTTGTTTAATAGTGAACCTAAAGAATTACTTTAAAGGAGGCATACCTAAAGTCAAGTGTCAGTAAAAGGACTAAAAAAGGAAACTGCTCTACTGGTGAAGAAAAGGGCTGGTCATTACTAGAAGCTAAGAGATGTACTGTCTATAGGTAAATGCAGTGAAGAAAGCCGCCATACTGTCCGCTATAGTCTTATGCAGCAATCTGTGGTGCAGGCCATCAGTCTCATCAGTAATGTCTAGAGGATGGCTAAAAGCCATCTTTGTTCCAAGTGATGGAAGACAGGCTTCCATTTAGTTCCTTCCTCCTGGAACGTGGAAGATTGGGCGCATGTCGGGGAACAGACGGTGCAGAGATTGCTGGAATAGTCAGGAATGGCAAAACAGATTGGAAGCAATCTCCCACACAACTTCCAGCACATATGTGCACTGGCAGAGCTCAGCTCAGCTCTTAACTCATCCACCAGAATAGAACACGACCGTGCAAACAAGCTCAGGTGGTGGATGCATGCAGGGAAATATTTACACCAGGAAAAGCAAGTGCGTGTCCAAAAAAAGCCCCAACCACTAAGTAAAAATGCGTACTGGTAAAGGCCAAAGAGTCAAAGCCCTAGAGATATCCCTCTGGAGTTCCTGACTAGGTCTCTTCTCACAAAACCCAGACCACCCCAGAGTCTCCACTTGGAGCACAATCTGGCAGTGGCATGGAAATGTAACCACACTGCAAAGAGTGCAATTCTTGGCTGAGATTTTGAGGTCTCTAAATTCATTCATGTTACTGGTACTTGTGCAGCATAGTCTGTTTGTGACAACTTGGAAGTTTATAGCTAAGGAACGCACTGCTAAGTGTTCAGGTGTGAAGTACTGATCAGGAAATGGGATCCAAAAGAAATGGCTGAATGGCTGTTCTCTGTGTCATTTTGCCACTACCTATGCTAAGAGCACATTGCTGCTGCTGCACTAGTGATGCTTTGATAACAGCAATGGGACTTGCTGGCTCAGTTATCAATGCACATGTACCGTCTATATGTATCTATATGTACAGGCTATAGGCCTGCACTTTAGCACAAAAGAATAATGTACGGGCAGATTAGTAAGTAGTTACTCGATGGTTGTCTGCATAAGAATGGCAAGTAAACAGGCAGTAGTTTTCAAGATCAATATTTTTCAGCACATTGTAGGGATTTGAAAGTCTATAGCTGTCTAGCAAATTGTCTGAGTCCCACAGCTAACATAGCCTAGCTCTGTACTCTGGAGGGAAAGATGTGCCGATGTATATAATGTGCAAAATATACCAAATACTAGTGTCTATGTAACTTCAAAACTGGGGAGACAAAAGAATAACATTTTCTCAAAACCACTGTATTTTTTAAATGGTTCTGGTTGTAATACATTTCAACAGTAGTTGTGAACCTGCTGAGAAAACCAGCTCTTCTGCTATCATGCTGATGAGTGCTTATGCAGTCAAAGCTAAAATCCCTATTTTTCTTTGCTTTCCCATTCATTCCATCTCAAAAGAGAGACTGAGGAATTCTGTTATATCTTTTGCACCAGATTCTACTTTTACAGCGGTGCAAGTCCACTGATTTCAGAGTTATTATTGACTGACAGCAGTGTGAGTACAGATTCAAGTATTCATTTATGTGCATTGCTGCTTTTGAAAAGTGTATCTCCCACATTCTGTGCTCTCAGCCAATTTAGTCTACCACTTGTTGCCGTGGAAACATGCACTTCTTCCTCCTCCTCCATCCGAAATGGCAGTATTCCATTTTCCCCAGATTTCCCTTTCCAGTAGTGTTTCTCTTACTAATTCATGTATCCCCAGTGCCCCAGGCCATGGTGCGCACTTGCAATATGCTACTGTGCATTAGGCAACAGGGCTCCCAACAGGTCTTGGCTCCCATGATTATGTGTTGGGAGTGCAGATAATAAGCCCTCAATGGAATTCAGTGAATTGAGAGCTCTTTGTGTCAAGAGGCAGAAAAGACATTTGCAATTACGATTATTTGCAATAACTGCTTTCTGCCTTACAGACTCATTTTGTTGTAGAAGGGGTTTAAGCTGAAACCTGGGGGAGTAAAATAGTTGCTAGACTGAAGAGTGACGCAGGAAAAGGCTGTTTAATTAAATATGATATCTGACTGTTTAGAAAGTTAATGTTTGAACTGCCTGGGTGGCTGGTGCTTCTCAAGTATGCCTTGTATAACCACAGTTAAAGACACTCCATTATTACTTAATGTTTCAATGAAAACACGAATTCCTGGAAAAGATTATACTTGTAATTTTCACTTCACGTTCTGTTTCACCTCCTTGGATATTTGCATAAGTAGACACAATGCATTAAGCGGCACTTAAAAGATTATGGAGACAGGAATTCAGGTACAGAAACGTGGGCATTAAAGGAGTCAGACAGGAAGAATGATGGTTCTGTGAACACAGAGCGGAACCAAAACTTGAGCACCTAAAACTGATCTTTAGCACATTGAAAATCCTGGCATGGGTAAGTGGATCACGCTGGGGCAAGGTTTCTTGGCAATGTGAAGTGACAAGGAGGTATCTTTATTCAGTACTTTACCACATCTGGAAATCTGTAGTTTTAGTGCTGCCCTGAGGTTCTTTGAAAGGCATTTTCAAGTTGACTTGCCCAGAAACTGCAGACATAGCTAAATGCACACCCAGATCAGACCCTGGTTTGTACCTCAACCTCACGTAACAGAGCGTGAAGTTCACAGTGCTGCTGGAGACAGAACAATACCAAGCAAACAGCACTTCAGATTTGCAGCCTAAAAGTATAAAGCGTGACAGTTCAATGCAGAGCAATCATAAAGGAAAATTTTATCCAATGACGAAACAAAAGCTGTGCCCCATTTCCCAAGAACGGCATGTCCTGTGCCACCTCCTCACAGAAATGTCTCAGTGCAGCTTTGCTTACTGAAAAGGCATCAGCCCTCCAGACCAAGATTCAGTGGGAAACTGGGCTGAATTCACAGGACTTTGGGGAATATTTTATTTGATTTTGACCAAAAAGGGGGCAGGGGGGTACAAACAACTAGTAGCCCTAATGCAGAAATTAAGTAGGTACTGAACTGAGCCATGTTTAGAGACTGGCCTAAATTCACCTGGAGATTATCAAGGTTTTTTGATGAAGCTCCAACTGTGCTCAAACTCCCACTTGCTGAACTAGAAATCAGGGAACTGCCCTGATTTCTGAAGGCTGAGAAGACT